TTCCACAGCCCTGAGAATAGCACCTACCAATAAGAAACTTCCAGGGCTGCATCTTATACATCCAATCAGTTTAAAATTATGTTGGCGCGTACAGGCTCCTTGAACCAACCAAAATGTATCTTCGGTATCCCCCTCCTCTCTCTGTCTAAAACCTATAAAAGGCTCCACTCTCCCTTACTCTGGGCTCTCAGCAGGGATCCATTGAGTTGGTGAGGTCTGAGAGCCTGAGCTTAAGCTCAAATAAACCATAAACCCTTGCTTTTGCATTTTGGTGTGTTGAGTCCTCGGTGGTCTTTTGGGGTCCAGTGGATGAGGTACAACATTAAGAAATGCGACCTGTACCAGCTGGACGAGGGTCCAGCCACCTCCACAGTGCTCACCCAGGAGGACAGCCTCAAGTGTTACCATGCCAAGCAGGTGGTTGGCCACATGGAGCTGAAGGCTCTACAAGCAGAAGTTCATCTGGGCTTCTGCCACCTGTGGGACAGCCAGGAGGCCTGCTGCGAGGGGCTGGAGGCCACCATCAACCCCTCGGATTACGTCATCACGGTCCACTGTGCTCAAGGCCTGTGTTACACGTGGGCTTGTCTGTCAAGTCCATCCTGGCAGAGCTGACAGGACGTCAGGGAGGCTGTGCCAAAGGCAAGGGCAGGTCCATGCACATGTACGCCAAGACCTTCTCCCCAGGCAATGGCACCGTCAGGGCCCAGGTTCCCCTGGGAGCCGGGGTTACTGTGGCTTCTAAGTACCTGGGAACCGTTGAGATATGCCTGGGCCTGTATGGCGGTGGCACGGCCAACCAGGGCCAGGTGGCCGAGGCCTACAATTTGTCAGCACTATGGAAACTGCCATTAGTCTGCGAGAATAACTGCTGCCGCCTGGGGACTGCAAATGAAAGGGCAGCGGCCAGCAACTTCATCCCCGGGCTGTGGGCTGTGAGTGAATGGGATGGATGTGCTCTGTGTTGGCGAGTCACGTGGTTCACTGCCAACTACTGCCGACCGGAAAGGGGCCCATCCTGATGGAGCTGCAGACCTACAGTTATCACGGACACAGTATGAGCAACACTGGCATCAGCTATCGTTCGTATGAAGAAATTCACGACAGGAGAAGTAAAAGTGATCCTATTATGCTTCTTCCACAGTTATCACGGACACAGTATGAGCAACACTGGCATCAGCTATCGTTCGTAGGAAGAAATTCATGACAGGAGAAGTAAAAGTGATCCTATTATGCTTCTTCGTGAGCGAATGATCAGCAACAACCTCAGCAGTGTGGAAGAACTGAAGGATCGATACAGATGTGAAAAGAGAGAAAGTGGCCCAGTTTGCTACCACTGATCCAGAACCACCTTTGGAGGATTTGGCCAATCACATCTTCACCACTCAGCCGCCTTTTGAAGTTCGCGGTACAAACAAGTGGATCAAGTACAAATCTATCAGTTAAAGAATGATTACTTATAGTTATTCTTCAGTGGAACGTTTATGCCCAACTTTAGGAAACTACAGAGTTGTTAAGGAAGAATAAATAAAAACCACTGAAGATGAGAACTTTTGTCAATTTATTAAAATAGGTAACAGATTATTAGAGATTAGAAGCTATACACTTGATTGAAGAGAATGTTCAGGTTTATATTCTAACATTAATAGGTCCTGTAGGTAAATTAAGGGGCAGAGAGGACAAGCAGGGATTTTTGTTTTCATGCTTCTTTTTGCTTACAATATTTCTAGTCTACTAACTAGGAAAAATTTAAACAAATTCTATAGGAAATTTGTATTTGTATTTGCTTTAATTTTCATGTTAAAGTTCTATTTTACAGCCATTCATGCCATGTGTGTTATATACAGAAAAGAATAATCCTGAATCCTATAGAACTTCTGGCTGAAAGGCAACAACCCCTCCCCCCAGTAGAAATGTTAATATCAAATCAGTTAAGCAGAGAGGAGATGACATTAACAAAAACTTCAGACTCTGCCTTCCCTTTAAATATAGGCTACCTGTTAATTTTTTTTTGCCGTTAACTAGTATCTTTTAACTCAACTGAGCATGTACTGATTAACTTTCCCCAAAAGAAAGTCTTGACTTGAATCATACAGGCACAGTTCTCCACAGTCCAGTACCATATCAGTTAGCACATCATAACTTGATGAAACCAGTATTACTTGGTTGTATTTGACTAATGACCTAAAATCCCATCGAACTTTATTTGGCAAGCCTTGTTCTTCTGTGACAGAGTTTATCAAAACCAGAAATGAGAATTTCCCTAATTTCAGACCAGTTTCTGAAACACACCAAGCTATTTTCTTTATAACTTCTACTTTATAAACAGAACTTTCTATTCTGTTGCTGTGATAGAATACTGTGACAAAAGCCGCTTAAGGAGAAAGTTGATTTTAGCTTGCAGTTCCACATCGTAGCCTATTATATAGCAGGGAAGACTTAGTGGCAGGAGCTTTTGGGAGCTGATCACATTGAACTCATAGTTAGAAAGAGCAATTGATACATGCATGCTATTCAACTTTCTCTTAAAGCAATCCTCCTTTTCCCCAGGTTAGGATGCCAACAACTCTAAGGGGACAGGGTTTCTCATAAATCAGGATAATCGATCACAGGCATGGTCAGAGCCCATTTCCCAGAAAATTCTGGATCCTGTCAAGTTAACAACACTAATCATTACAAGATTTTTTTTTCATCTTTTTGAGACTGTCTCCTTGTAGCCACAGCTGATCTGAAACACAGCTAGTATAGACCAGGATGGCTTAGATCTCAGAGAGTTCTGCCTGCCATTGCCTCCCAAGCACTGGGATTAAAGTTGTGTGCCAAAAGGCTCTGCTGTTGAGTCCCAAATTTTTAGTTGAAAACAAAGTTGAGGCATTTATGAGTGCCTGAATATAAGGACACACACATATATATATAGAGAGAGAGACATAATTTTCATCTCCTTCCTGAAGTAGTTCTAAACTGAGATAACCTCAGTGTTGTAAATTCAGAAAGCAGATGTGTTTATCTTTTTTACATTTTGTTTGTATTTGTGGGTGCATGCCACAGTGTGCATGAAGGTCAGAGGACAACTTGTAATAGATTCTTTCTTGTCATGTGAGTTTCAGGGTTAAGTTTGGTGGCAAAGGCTTCTATTTATATATGAATCACACTACTGTGCTCGTTTTGTTAGAGTATTGTAGTGTTTAGTGATACTTCAGTTAGAGAAACAATAATTAGAAATAAATAATTTTGAACAAAATATTCAAAATTTGATAAGCACATTCTTCTAATGACAATGCCTTTATTTTTGATACACTGATATTTCCATATGTTTGTAAACTTTATTCAGTTTTACATCTGAACATAAAGAAATCATTTACAAAGTTTGTTTACATGATGAATTCTTTGATGTCAGCAAAAATGCAGGTACTTGATAATGAAATCAGTAAGTAAGATACACAGACATATAAGTTCAGGAAGTTTCCAAATCTCATTATGTGAGAGGAATAAAGTATTTTTGTCATGCTGTATGCTGAATACATTGAGGATTCCAGGAAATATACATTAAAAATATTTTCAGACATTTTTGTGTATCTTCAGCGACTATAATCACAGTGTTGCTTGCCATAATTTAGCAATTATGCATTAAACAAATTCTACCCAAATTACTTAGGCCAACTTTATTTGTTGACTAGTAGCAGTAAAAATTTAGTAAGCTGAAAAACGAGGAAGGTATAGAATCTAGCAGTTGGGTGCTGTTTCCTGTCTGTGGTACTATTTGCTCTATCTACATGCTATACAATCATGTTAGGGGCAATAATTTCATCGCTAGAACACTGTGCAGAAAACAAAGACCTCAATATTTCAATCTGTAGGATGCTTTAGAAAGATTGTATGCATATATTTAGAATTGAATAAGAAGTTATGGTGTGGAAAAGCAGTAAGATATATTAGGACTTATTTAAAATAAATGGATGTCTGCTTACATAGTATACAAAAGATAAAACGTTGGTAAAATTTAAACCAATATTTCATGAGCTAGTTTTTAAAAACTGTAATTTACACACCATAAAATTAATCCTTTTTTATTTTTAAGAGGGCTTTTTTAGATGTTTTATTTTTATTTGTGTATACGAATATATTGCCTGCATATATGTAAGTGCCCCTGTGTCATGCAATGCCGGCAGAGGTCAGAAGAAGGTGTCGGATTCCCTGGAACTGGAGTTACAGACATTGTTAGCCACCATTTGGATGCTGGGAACTGAAACTTGATCTTTTACAAGAGCAGCCATTGTTCTTAACTGCTAAGCCATCCCTCCAGCCCCCAAACCCTTTTAAGAGCATTCAGTTTAGTGGTTTACTATGTCTAGATAGCTGTGCAACCACAACACTGATTCCAGAACATTTTCAATTCTCCAAAGAGAAAATCCATTCCCTTTTTAATCCCTCCCATTTTCCCTTGAATTAATCCATTTTCTCTTTATTTTCCTCTTCTGTGTATTTCATATAACGGCTCTTGTGACTCCCTTGCTGCTTTCCCTTAGATCATTTTTAAGTTTCATCCATGCTATATTATGTACCAGAAGTATCTTCTTTCTTTTAGTGGTTTGATGACTTGAAATTCAACCATTTCGTTTAAAGACAATAGGTGCTTTTTTTTCCCAGTTCACAGAAACAGGCATTTGTAGGATAATTTTGTATTCAAAACATATTTTTATTGATTTTCTGTGTATTTCATAAAATACATCTTAATCAAATTTAGACCCCCCCCACCCCTATCTGCAACCCGCCCCCCCAGCCCTCCCACTGGATTTTGTGCATTCTTTAATATGTGTTAACTTCTATCAAGTCAAATTTTTGTTCCCAGGTGTCCCTTGGTGTGAATTCATCCACTAAAGCTCGGTCAGCCTGTCTAGGGTCACTCCTTTAAAGAAGACCAACCTTCCCTCGCCTTGCAGTGATCAGCTGCCAGTGGTTCCTCAGCTAAGGTTGGGGCTCCTCATTTCTCCAGTTTATGCTGAGTTTTCATCTGGTTTGCATCTGCATGGGGCTGTGCGTGCTGACATGATTGCTATATGTTCACATGAGCTAGTTACCAGAAACTTAGACAACTCGTTGTGGTCATCAACCACCCATAGCTCTTAAAATCTTTCTGCCCCCTCTTCTGCAATGGCCTCTGAGCCCTGGCTGGGTGAGGTTTAATATAGATGTCCTATCCCAGGGACACACTTCTGCAGTCTCATATTCTCTACATTTTGCCAGTTTTGGCTTTCTGTGTTAATTACCATCTGTTGCATAAGGAAGCTTCACTGGTGAGAGTTGAGAGGTTCATTAATAGTTTTGCTATGTTCCATGAGCCTTAAGTGTAGACATTCCACTGCAGATGTGTCACTTAGGGCTTGACCTCTCACACGTATTCTCTGTATGTGACCAGTGTGGAACTCTGGAATAGTCTCCATCTGTTGCAATAAGAAACTTCTTTGATAAGTGGTGAAAGGTTTATTTGGGAATATAAGGATACATATTTACCATACAGTAAGAAATTACGTTTGTCTAGTGATGTGATAGACAAATGTATGTTTTTCTCTAGGATACTTTTAAGGCACTAGCAGGGTCAATGACACAATATCTCATATGTTAGTGTTTTTCAGAAGAACAAGTTAATTTCAAGAAAATATAAAGCACTATGAGTCTGAATATCAACAAATGTAATTAATTTTCTTACTGGATATTTTGGAGATAGAATCCATATAGGCCAAGCTGACAACATTTTGATGTTTGAAAATTTTAAAGTAATTTTTATTCTACAAAAGTTCCAGACATGTATGCAACTATATTGATAATATCCATCCACCCTCCCTCTTACTCTTCCTAAGGCCCACCATCTTCCCTCTTTAGTCCTTCTTTTTTAAAATTAATAAAACTCTGAGTTCACTTAGTGCAGCTCGTATGCGTATGGGTATGTGATCATTCACTGGGGAGTTAACAACATACCAACAACCACATACCCAATGAGATTAACTCTCACCTAGCAGCCATCAGCTGCCAGTTACTCCTCTGACAGGGGTGGGGCCTCAGGAGCCACTCCCCCATCCATGCTCCAGGGTTTCAACAGACTATTTATAAAAAAATGAAGAATGATCTACAGAGGTATTATAAAGTCTGCACGCAGTTACCAGTTAAAATCTTATATTTTTATTATGTGGTAAAAAACAGTGAACTTAGGTTACCTGGGTTACTCAGAACTTCCAAATATTATGGAAAAGCCTCAACACTTCTGAGAGATAATCTCTGAGGCCTTAGACTGTTCTTCCTGTTAAGAATGCTTTTATAAAACCTGAGGCCTTGGTTCACAGTGAGAAGGCAGGAATGTTTGGTTGGTTGTGTGTGTGTGTGTTCGTGCATGTGCATATTTGTGTGAAGGTATGCCATATGTGAGAGCACCCTCTGAGTCTAGACGAGGA